ATGAAATTCAACAACCAATCAGATCGATTGTGGATCGGTTTGGTCGGCGCGATTCGATTGCACCCCCTCCCCAAATTTGTATATCAAATCAATAATGTTGAACTCTTTGTGAAACCGGATACGCCTACAATTTGATTGGTCGAATGTTGGCAATACACCGGATACATCCACCTGCAATTTGATTGGTCGAAAAGGTCTTTTTTTCGAACCTTTCATTGGCTACTTTCGTCGATTCAACCATTTTGAAATCACTATCATTTTTCACATATCTTTCTCATAGGTACCTTCCCGCCGCGTCGTCTGGCGAAGCCATCTGCGGCATGGCTATGAGCGAGCCGGCTGTCGGCACGGACGTCCTCGGCATGAAGACGACCGCCGTCAAGCGCGGCGACGAGTACATTTTGAACGGGACCAAGATGTGGATCACCAACGGCGCCATCAACGACACCGACTTGGGCGACACATTTCTTGTGTATGCGCGCACGGGAAACAGCGGCAACGCGCGCGAGGACTTCTCCAGTTTCATAGTAGAAAAGGGCTTTGAGGGGTTTTCACTGGGCCAGCGCATCAAGGACAAGTGCGGCATGCGGGCGAGTATGACGGCCGAACTCGTGTTTGAAAACTGCAGAGTTCCGGCGGAAAACTTGGTAAAATTTACTACTAGATAGATAAATATTCGAAACGCAAAAACCACTTTGACTCATGGGATGATTACTGTACACGTAGATTGGCAAAGAAGGATCGGCCGTGCTGTGCATGATGCGCAACTTGGAAATCGAACGTGTGACCTTGGCGGCGATGAGTTTGGGGATTGCGCGGCGGTCGATTGAAGTTATGAATGCTTATGCCAAGGTAGGTCCTATTTACGACACTATATCAGCCGATGAATCGCTCTTCATACGGAAAAGGTTGTGGGCGAATACGATGGGTCAACGGACAGGAGTAGTTTTTCAACCATATTTTAGTATTATTATGATTATTAGGTTTAAACAAACAGGTTTGTGATTTACAATTTATCAAGCACATCTTCGGTTATTTATTACGAAGAGTCAAAGAATTGTGAGTTTTTTTGTCGATTTGATACAAATTTGGGGAGGGTGCAATCGAATCGCGCCAAACTGATCCACAATAGATCTGATTGGTTGAATTTCATTGAGAAGGTTTTGATTGGCTAATAAGTTTGAGCTCATCTGAGGTAGCCAATCAAATCGATATAAGTTCCAACGAGAAACCACGCCACAACACAATGAAATTTCACTCGAAAGCACAATATGTATCCATCATATTTATTATATTATTATTTTAACTGAGTGAACGAACAGGATTTTGAATTATTCGTTTCCAGTGTATTTTAGATTTTTAGTGATTTTACTGTTTCAACTGAGAAGATAGTGATTTATTATTTGTGAAAAGATTTGTTTTTGTTATTACTATTTTGTCAACGAACGGGCTTTTGAGTTACTACTTCAAAAAAGTATGATTTCTCAAATAGATTATATTGTTAATATTATGAATTCTAATGTTCGGGTTTATATTGGTAGGAACGCACTGCGTTTGGAAAGCCGTTGAACTACTTCGGTCAAATCCAACAGAACATTTCAACGTCATATGCGCAATACAAGGCTGGACGGGCATATGTGTACGACACGGCGCGGTAAGATTTATATATATATATATATATATATGTCTATATATCCTAATATTTTATATATTTACGTATGTTGGGATTAAAACATGGTGTGGAGTTAGGTTGATGCAATTGGATGCTGTGGGCAACCGCATCGACACGGACGGTGTCAAGCTGTACTGCGGGGACATGGCCAAGGTACATGCATATAAATATATATATACGCTATGCCTTTTGATGGCAAATATATATATATATATAGTTAGTTATATATATATACGCTATCTCTTTTGATGGCAAATATATATATATATATATATATATAGTTATATAGTTATATATATGTATACGCTATCTCTTTTGATGGCAAATATATATATATATATAGTTTGTAAATTGTCTGATTGGGGATATTTGAGTAGCAAGTAGCCGACCGGGCGATCCAGACGTTGGGTGGGTATGGGTACGTGGGCGAGTACAACGTGGAGCGACTGTGGCGCGACTCAAAATTGCTCGAAATCGGCGGCGGCACAAACGAATCGCATCACAAAAATATGAGTCGCGACCTGCTGCGTGTGGACCGGTTGTAAGCATGCCACGTCATAAGATGGTATTCTAGAAGCAAACCACAAGGCAGACGATGGGAGTTTACAACAACGAGAACAGCATAAACAGTAATAATATATTATTGTCGATAGAGTCTCAACGCTACTTACAGAGTGAATGCCAACAGGATGGATGGATATACATCGTCAGAAGTCGGTATCCAATGATTTCGTTCCAGCCAACCAAAGTAGTCGAAATGGCCAATCCCAACATATTAGACCACCTTGAAGTACTGATTTTCCGGAGACTAGACCAATCAAATCACTCGAATGCCAAAATACTCTTGGTTTTGGTCCAGACAACATCGAATATCTCCCGAATAAAAAAATAATTCGACCAATAAGCGTTGAGTAAAAAGATAATGTCCCGAGATAATAATCAAGTACTATTAATATTTCGCACGCCTTTTTTAATATTTTTGGCCAATCTACTTGGAACTGAGTTGTATGGATTGACATATACTTACTAACTACTGGTACACCTTTTTGCAGTTAAGTTGGACGAATGCCCGATATATTTGGTCGTGTGCCCGATATATTTGGCGGTGAGTTGTATGGTTTGACATTTACTTACTAACTACTGGTACACCGTTTTGCAGTTAAGTTGGACGAATGCCCGGTATATTTGGTCTTGTGCCCGATATAATTGGCCATGTGCCCGTTAAATTTGGCACCCGAATGTCGTGTGCCCGATATATTTGGCGGTGTGCCCGATATAATTGGCCGTGTGCCCAAGCAATTGCCCATGTGCCCGAGAATTGTGTCGTGTGCCCGATGAAAATGGAAATCACGCAATAAAAAGTCAATTCAATATCGAAATAGTCGTCAAACGACACATGCCGCATCGTTGCTGTGACGTCACATATATGTACCAACGCCCATGTTGCCCATGGCCTCCGCGCGTCCATCGTGGGTGCGTACCTTGAGGTAAATCGAAAAATGAGCTCTGCGGACGACAGATTCAAAAATATTTATCGACTTCAATGGAATGACTTGAATAAAGTATAGTGTTGCCCCTGTACTTCAACGCTTCGTCCATACTTCAACTCCCACCAAATATTTTTGAATCTGTCGTCCGCAGAGCTCATTTTTCGATTTACCTCAAGGTACGCACCCACGATGGACGCGCGGAGGCCATGGGCAACATGGACGTTGGTATATGACGTCATAGCAACGATGCGGCATGTGTCGTTTGACGACTATTTCGATATTGAATTGACTTTTTATTGCGTGATTTCCATTTTCATCGGGCACACGACACAATTCTCGGGCACATGGGCAATTGCTTGGGCACACGGCCAATTATATCGGGCACACCGCCAAATATATCGGGCACACGACATTCGGGTGCCAAATTTAACGGGCACATGGCCAATTATATCGGGCACAAGACCAAATATACCGGGCATTCGTCCAACTTAACTGCAAAACGGTGTACCAGTAGTTAGTAAGTAAATGTCAAACCATACAACTCACCGCCAAATATATCGGGCACACGACCAAATATATCGGGCATTCGTCCAACTTAACTGCAAAAAGGTGTACCAGTAGTTAGTAAGTAAATGTCAAACCATACAACTCACCGCCAAATATATCGGGCACACGACCAAATATATCGGGCATTCGTCCAACTTAACTGCAAAAAGGTGTACCAGTAGTTAGTAAGTATATGTCAATCCATACAACTCAGT